TCTGATAACCTTGATAGTTTTATTGAACTGAGTCTTTACAAATCTGAAGATATGATACAATATAGGAAAATATCTGACTTTTGCTTAAGCAAGAAAACCCAAGTCATTCTATTGTAATCATCCACTATAATGAGAAAGTACTTGTTACCATCAAAAGTAGCTACTCTGTATGGACCCCATAGGTCTACATAAATCATATCAAAACAACAAATACTTCTTATACTACTAGTTGGAAATTGAATTCTAGTTTGCTTAGCATAAGGGCAGATTGTACATTTATCTACTTTGTGCTTAATACTTTGTAGACTAACAGAAAGTATTCTCTTGAGTACTAGTATAGACACATGTCCAAATCTTTGATGCCACAGCTCCACATTGATTTTATTAGCCTCACTTGTTGTCAGTTCCTTAGCAGCACACACATCCCTATTGTTGTTCCTTGCAAGTTTAGTTAACAAGATATATAATCCTCTTTCTTCTTTACCAATCTCCCTCACCTTCCCAGTGAAGAGATCCTGAAAAATACAAAAATCAGGAAAGAATGTTGTTGCACATTGTAGTTCTTTTGTCATTTTGGAAACTGAAAGGAAATTATACTTAAACTAAGGCACATGGAATACATTAGTTACAGTACTCTTAGCAGAAATTGAACTTGCTCCTGTGTGAGTAACTAGAGATACATCACCATTTGGCAGAAGAACTTTCTTAGGATTAGTAATATATACTATTGTAGATTTGTTGAGAAGGTTAGAATCAGATACCGTGTGATTTGTGGTACATGTATCTATAATCCATTCTTATGAGCCATTTGAAACCAAAAATATTGTGTCAGCACTTGTTGCATTTGCAGCTGAATCTATACTAGCAGTAGGTGCTGGAGTCCCTCCTTTGTTAAACAGATGAACAATCTGATCATATTGCTCCTTTGTAAAGGCATAATTTCCCAACTGATTTGTAAGAGCTTCCACTCTCTCACTATAGTTTCCCAACTGATCATACTGACTTTCATTAGCAGACATGTCCATTGTTTTTGAATTTTGACCATAGTTGAACATAGGTGCAACAAAATTACTGTTACTTTCAGCTAAAACATTGGCATTATGAGTTGCATTATATCCCTTCTTCTTCTGCCTAAAATCCTGAGGATATCTCACTAACTTGTAACCGTTTTCTTTGGTGTGACCCTTTATTTTGCAGTATTCACAAAATTGAACATGAACATTGATGTTCCTTTTGAGCCTATGATTCTTACCGCCCCCACAAGTTCTGGTATACAAGGCAATGTCAAAATTTCCAACTGGATTAACTCCTAAAATTCCAGAATTTGCTGATATGGATCTTTGACTTTCATCACTCACAATCAAAGGATATGCTTGGTTAATAGTAGGCATGGGTATTTTCATCAAGATTTGACTTCTTGCTTGAGAGTAGGACTCATTAAGTCCCATCAAAAATTGGTATAACATTAATTTTTGTAAGTTAGCAAACTCCCACAACTTAGGACAATCACAACCAGGAGAAGGAACCAAGGCTTCAAATTCTTCCCAAAGATCTTTGAGTTTAGAAAAATACACAAAAACAGATGCAGAACCTTGAGATAGAGTGACTATTTCTTTATGCAAATTAAATGTTCTTGAGCCATCTATATTATTAAACCTTTCTCACAAATCTTCCTACACAGTTTGTGCACTCGAGGCATACATGATGCCTCCAAGAAGACCTTTAGCTACTGAGTTCATCAGCCAAGATAACACAATGGCATTCACTCTTTTCTAGTGATTCCATATTGAATCTGAAAAATTTTCTTTGTTGCGTGTGCCATGTACCATTCCTAACTTGTTTCCTCCTAAAAGAGCAACACGTATAGATCGATTCCAAATAGAATAGTTTCAATACCCGTAAGCTAAAACGATATGATCTGAATTCCACTAACATCAGCAGGAGAAAAAAATAATGGGTGATTGTATTCGATCCCAGGCACCTGATTTCCAGTTGCAGTTTGGCTTTGATTCCCAGTATTCAGATTCACTTGTTCATCGATTGATTCCATTTTCTGTTGCTTCTTGCTTCAAGAATTTCGAGATTGTCAATTCACAGGTTATGAATTGTAGAATTTTTGACAGAATTGCAAACACAGAACATTTCAGAAGAAACCAGACTTTGAGAATTGAGAAGAGATAGAGTTACGGAAGAGATATCGAAAACTTCAACTTCTTGAGTCAAAGAAGCTCTGATACCATGAAGTTATTTGGGGAAGAAGAAGATAGAANATATATATATATATCATTTATACACCTATTCTACCAATTCTATAAAGTTATACATATATTATACATTCATTATTCAATGATAGTGAATAATGAATAAGCTCGATTGAACTTTAATTTGTACACTATTATATACATGAATTAAACAGTAAAAGGCAGCTCGGTGCACTAAGCTCCCGCTATCCGTGGGGTCCGGGGAAGGGCCGAACCACAAGGGTCTATTGTACACAGCCTTACCCTGTATTTCTGCAAGAGGCTATTTCCACGGCTCGAACCCGTGACCTCCTGGTTACATGACAACAACTTTACTAATTACGCCAAGGCTCCCGTTCACATAAATTAAACAGTGTTATCTTTAAATTATCCATGCAAAAAAAAGAGAGGCAAATAATAGGGCTAGGTCCCACTCCCTATTTCCCTATTAATTGGTCTATCTTCAGTTCACTCTCCATATCGTGAGAGAATATTTCGCCTTATTTGTTGTTGTACAGGGATTTTATCGAGGATCTAATTGATGGCTATACCATTTTAGGGTTATTTTTTATAGACTAGTTTTAGGGCTAGGCGGAGTTGTAAATACTAGCGGGTTGTCTATTTCCGTTTTTTTCCCCTTAAATTTTTGAGGAATTTACACAGAATACAACTTATTTATAACTTATTTAAATAAGTTACAACACCTTTTAAAAAATTACTTACATACAATTTTTTTAAAATCTACAACTTTTCATATCCCTAATATATCTCTATTGAGATTCTCTCACCTAAAAAGTATCCTAATATATCACTCTTGAGATTCTCTCTCACCTAAAACATGCCTTTTCAATTTNGTACATACCTTAAGTATCTCTTTCATGATAATTATGATAAATAAGCGTTAACATTATAGATCTTCAGTTATATTTTTATGCAGAGAAGTGTTTCAGAAAGTACCCTCCGAGAAATTTGAATTTCTTTGATGGCAGAGGTCAAAATGGTATAGAGAATGGAAGATTTTAAATCTGAAATTAAAGTTTTACTGTTAGAAAACATGGAGATGAAGCTGTCAATGGGAGAAGACGGAGTTTTTTTCGGTTGGGGGAGGGGAGTTGGATATATTAACTGCTAATATTCCTAATTACTTAAAGTATGCCAAAATTTTCGGGTCCTGTTAATTCAATTTATTAAGTTTCGCACAAATAAAGGTAGATGGAGATCTTCTTTGATATATCTGGTAACCGATAGTTATATGAAATGTAATATAAGAATTTGTATTTTCTATTATTTAGTTTTCTTAGTGTTGCAGTTCCGAAAACTTCTCTAAATTTTTTGGTTTAAGACCAAAAGTGACCCAAAATTACAAACTTTAAAAACCTTTCATGTTCAATGTGGAATTTTAAAGATTAAGATAGTGAAAATACAAAATTTAAGGAGCTTTCTGGATCATTCCATAAAAGTATTAAGCAACTCACTACCAGCAAATCTTTGTATGAGCATACCTTGCTTTCTCAATTTTCTTAAACAACAATTACATTAAGTAGAATGCTGGTATGATACTTTTTTTGTTGTTGTTGTTTTCGTTCCTTTTCTTTTAAATTTTTGGGATTAGGTGGATCTATCAACAGTAAAGAATAGAAGATAGAAGATCAGAATATAAATAACTTAAATTGAGAAATCTTGCACCAAAAATGGTGAGATTAAATCGTAATCATTGATTGCGCCAATCTCCAAAATGATATAATCATTATGATATTAATCGTCGGAATACGTTTCTTTCGTGAATTTCAAAATTAAAATATGCACCCAATAGTATGGTCCACGAATCAAGCCTCGATAGATTAGAGTTACCTGATACTTGTTGCTGTTGGGAGGTAACATGTATCCCGTAGAATTAATTAGGTGCAAACTGGATCGGACAAAAAAAAAAAGAAAAAATTAAAATGTAAATTCTTACAATTGCGACTACTTGAAACTTATAGCATGTTTGGTCATACTTCTCCAAAGATCAAAAGTATTTTTTTTTAAAAGTACTTTTTCTCTCAACTTACGGTGTTTGGCCAAACTTTGAGGGGGTGCTTTTGAGAAGAAGCGGGAGCAGTTTCGGAGAAGTATAAAAAAATAGCTTCTCTCGAGAAGCACAAGCAGAAGCAGAAACAATTTTGACTTTTCTTCTTACCAAAAAATACTCTTAACAAAATACAGATATACCAAAATAACTTACTTATTTTAAACTTAATACTTACGATATTAATGTATAGGTATTTTTTCTTATTTTTAGGATAACTTTTTAATATATAGTAACTTCAAGAGCAAATATTTTTATATTATTGAATGATTTTTTAATATATTTAAATCATCTTAAAAGAATTAAAGTATTTTTAAATTTTATTTCAGATTTTACTTAAATAAAATAAAAATATTTAATTATTATTTTTAATAATAAATTTTTGAGATTATTTATTTACTTATAATATTAACTATTAAGTAAATCTATTCATGTCTTTATTTGTAATTTGATACTTAAAGCATTTTTTGAAAAGCTTGACCAAATATAAATTATTGCTCAAAAATACTTTTTAGATTTGTTAGCCAAACACAAAAAAAAATACTTTTCAAAATAAATTGATTTTTTAGCTTGGCCATTTGTAACGTATAATAACTAAGAAAAATTAAATATTATAGTTATTCTTTGAAAAAAGAATTACTATATCCCACACTTAAAACTGTGACTCAGCAGTCCTCAGTTAGTCAGATTAGAAGATACAGGATTAGCTGTCTTTTTCAGAAGCTCCCTGTGGGGCACACGTGCAGTGCGACAGATGAAGAATGACAAACTCTGCCTCTTTGGTTTTGATGAGTCTGATCGATCTAAGATGTCACAACTTCCTCCCAAGTTGGCCTTTCCTAATTTGTTTCTGATTTTATAGGTTACATTCATCGCCATTGTTAATCAGAAGCAGTTATCAACTGATTTTCCTGGTATATATGCTTTTCTACTTACCCTCCTTCTTCGTTTTATTGCTATTTGCATAGTTCATTACTAATTTATTGCTTCAATTTTGTTTCCCCTTTCGTCCCCATGCAAGAAGGAAAATTTATGGTTGAAATTTGAAAATCATTATTATCAGTGTTACCTCAAATACATTATAAATGTGTTTGGTATAATATGCTTTGGGACTTTTCTCGTTTAGTCAAGAACTCAGAAGGGTGTTTTTCTATATGCTGCAGATAAGTGAGGTTTTTGATTAATGTACTTGGTCATGTTGGTGAATACTAGCCATGAAATGTTTTTGGTCCTGTTTATTGTCGTTCTCATTCATTATACTTCCTTCGTTTTAATTTATGTGAACCTATTTCCTTTTTAGTCCGTGCCCAAAAGAATCACCCCTTTCCATATTTGAAAATAATTTACCTTTATTCAATGATTTATAGCCACACAAAATATCTGTGTATGGTGGGTGAAAATTAATCTTGTCAAGGGAATGGATGCATTGCATCTATGTTTGATGGGGTCTTGCGATCAAATTTGTGTATGTGTGTCTAACAAGAAACTTCTTGATAATAATGGGAAGTGATGGGAGCTCCTTGAACTCTTGTTGGAGAATCCGGGGGAATTTAATATGTCGAGTAAGATGAATGCAGAAAAGAGAGAAAAAATAAAAAGAAAGAATCAAAACAAACAAGAAACTTGTGATGATAATGTAAGGTGATGGGAGCTCTTTGTAACATTGGGAGTATCCGGGGCAATTTAATGCTGGAGTATGACGGATGCAGAAAAGAGAAAATCAAAACAAACGAGATACTTGTTGATGACAATGAAAAGTGGTGGGAGATCTTTGAAATGTTGGGAAGTACCCAGGACAATTCGTGGAGTAAGGCGAATGTGGAAAAGAGAGAATAAAAACGACAAAAAAACTTTTTCATGATATAATGGAAAGTGATGGGAGCTATTTGAAGCTTTGGGAAAGTATCGGGGAAATTTAATAAGAAGAATACGGTAAAGAGAGATCAAAACAAACAAGTTGATGATAATGGAAGGACAGGAGAGCCTTGGGAAGTATCTGGGGCAATTTAATGCATGGAATGAGACGAATGGGGAAACGAGAGAATCAAAACAAAAGGAGAGATGTATTAATTTAAGCACGCAATTGTTCTTAAGATACTGAAAGAGTCTCAATTTTTTCTTGTTGTCTTATAAAAAAGAAACGTGCTAAACGTATAAACTGTCATAGAGGTTGAGATTGTTTCAGGCGGATCAGCTGTTATATTACCAAAAAACTGGAATTGCGCTGTCTAAACATTAATGTCACATGGAAAGGATGGAGAGGAAAGACATGCAGCCAACTGGCTTGATTGCAGGGCAGAAATGCCTTAGAAGATGCTGGCTTTGGTAGCCAGTAATGGAGCTGGTTTCATGCAACAAAACGACAAATATCCTACGGTGGGTAGACAAATTTGAGTTATTGCAATTTTAATGATCATTGCTTTTTACATAACTATATTTGGACAAAGGTCCAAATATTTCTTTTAGGTGCTCGCCGCATTACTGTATGAAACTCTATGCTTGTCTTTTTCATATACGGCCAATTAAAAGTGAAGAATTCTTGGTTTTGAACATTCCATGTGGTATATGACCAATTATTTGCTTACCTCAAAAGCATGTGTTTGGTATATATCTGTGCTTCACGAACTTTCTCCATTAGTCAAAGTCAGAAGGGTCACTTTTTATATGCTGCGGAAGGTGAAGCTCCCGATAAGTATCCTTGGTCATGATTGTAATACTAGCCATTAAAATATCTGGTCCTGATAAATGTTCTTCTTCTTCATAATCTAGATCTTTTCTTCCTGGTATACCCATCTAATTTCCTAGACACTAAAAATAGAAACCAGACACACAGATTGTCAAGGGTATGTATGTATATCACCTATGGTTGAGGATTTTGAAATCAATTTGGTGTGTGTCTAACAAGAAACCTGTGGTTGATACTGGAAAAAGAGGAGATGTTTGAAAACTTAGGAAGAATCTGGGGAAATTTAATGCATATAGTAATAAGAATGCGGAAAAGAGAGACAGTTTTAAAAAATAAAAATTAAAAGAAAATTTTACTAATTTTAACAGGCAATTGTGTTGAGATACTGACATTTGTTTATTTTAATTTTTTTTGGATAAAGGTAACAAAAGTTTAACAGAATTCTTATATGCTCTTTCCGTCTTATGAAAAAAGTAAGACAAACATGCGAGACAAATAATAACTTTTCTAGAGGTCGGGAAAGTGTTTCCGGTAGATCATGTGTTTAACTGTTGCCAAGTAAGTGGAATTACCATGTAGAAACATTTATCACCACATGGGAAGGAGTGAAAGGAAAGACATCCTCCGACAGTCAAATGGTTTGACAGCAGTGCAGGAAATGCCTGAGAAAATGCTAGGTTTGGCGGCCAGTAGTGGAACGGGTACCGTGCCAAACAACGTTAAATATGATACAGTGGAAAGACTTTTGTGTACTGCAATGCAAAAGACATTTGTGTTATTGCTTTTAAGAAGGGGTTTAATATAACTCTATTTGGGAAAGATGATGGATGCTTGCAACCTCAGGTAGTTGAGTAGTGCGTTTGTAAAGGTCGATGTTTGCTGACTTTTATGACTTTCTCAGTTCACATTCAATAATCTAAATCGCATAAATCGCATAATGAAACTATGGCTGTTCTTTTCACGTATGACTAATTAAACGAGAAGAATATGGGTTTCACCATTCAGTATGAGTTGATTGTAGGGTATCAGGATCAAAGGTGCCACGGCCCACGAGAAAGTTTGGAGCTATAATTTGAATAGGACTATGAAGGCTTGATTATATGGATATCAGATTCTTTCCCGGAAGCTGTGAACATAAATTTTATAGTTAGGTCAAGGGTAAAGCTGATAGACGAGAGGAAAGAAAGTCAATCAGCCAAGTGATATGACTTATTTTTTCTTCTAACTATGTCGTGTTTCATCATTAACTGTAAATCTTAATTTCTCTTATGGTTCAAGGCTATAGGCTTACTCTTTAGTGGGATTCGATAATTTGGTTCAGCGAGGTATTATTTTAGTTTTGTCTAGTTAATGATATCTTTCCATACACCGTTATACTTCTCTTGAGATATCAAAATATAAATTCTCCTACATGTTGAACTTATATCATATAGCCTTTGAAATGCTAGGAATGCTAATAAATAGGACTTGCCTAATATCACTACCTGCAAGAATAAGTTTGAGCGTTTCCAAGAAGTAGGCTTTTAATTGTCCATGTCTCTATTGTGTAAACCACTCGTGTATCATGTCCGTGGCTATAGGGGAGTGCAAGGAGAATAGAGAATGAAGCTTCGTTTTAGGATTGCGGTGATCAACTGAAGAACTATAGTGTTCACAAACGTAGTATATAGTCATGTCTGTTCTGATGAATAGTTGTCTAGCATGCAGCTGGATGAATGGTACTAACTGTTGGTTTCTTAAGTTGCGTAGATGCTGGGTTTAATAATTTAAGAAGCTAGCAGGACTGCAAATAAATTCTTTTCAGAATAAGTATTCGTTCTCCAGATTTATAAGGTGGGGAAATTAAGTGATAGTAAATAAGTACTGAGAACAGGGAAGACTGGAGATTATTTTTATTAATTTCATTCATTTTTCTAAAAAGAAGAAAACAATATATAGAGAAAAAGAACAAAATAAAGTACCTAATTTCCACTCGGCAGGTTACAGCCCACAGAATTCTGTTCATTAATTGTGAGGATGCAGTTAGTTAGCTTTGTATGTAGCTGCACCAAAAAATTTAGTGTTGACTCGGGATTTGGCAATAAAGAACTGGATTACCACTGAAACCTGTTTTCTTCACAAAATCTTGCTGTTGCTGATTCGATATTAGATTCTCTATTAATTGTGGCTAATGAAATCTGGAAACACATCATACAATAACCATATTTGACTAGCAAGTCAACACATTAAATGCTTTGACCTTTTTCCTTTTCTTCTTCTGTTGTTTTATATATTTCTCAGTTCGCCGGAGAACAACCACTCATCTAACTTCCAGTTCTAGTTTGCATCCTTTCATGGGTCGCAATAAGCTTGTGATGAAGAAAATTGAGAATTCGACATCCCGCCAACAAACCTATTCAAAGCGCAAGGATAGCATTGTTAAGAAGGCAAATGAGTTGGCTGTTTTATGTGACACAGATGTTGCTCTTTTGATGTTTTCTCCAACAGGTCAATTGACCAGCTATTCCAGCAGAGGAAGGTGAATGTCCTCATAAGAAAATCTTATGAATACAACTTCTAGAATGATCTTTTTTGTTTGAATATTCTACTTTTTTGAAACATAGCATGTAATATGATTTTCTTTGGTTGTATAGTGTTGAGGATATCATGCTCCGTGTTGTGAACCGGCCTGGTGAACTGCACAGGCGGTATGTTTATTTCATATGCCAAATTCATGAATCAGACTTTGCCAATTCCTTATAACTAACTATCTTTTGGTTCTTGTTCCAATCCACATGATTGTTGAAGACCCATTCCGAATGAGCAGGTTCTAAGTCTTACAGATCTGTTACTGATCGTCAGCCTCTGCTGCCGAGTCTTTGGAGTTTCGACTAACCTTAACTTGCCTTATCCGTTGCAGTACTTTTCGCAGAGGCTCGCGCAGCTAAAATATGAATCAGAAATGGTGGAAAAGATAGCTATGTATGTCATTCTCCTTATGCACTCCATTTATTCCCCAGGAGGTGGTGTTTTCCTTATGTATTACTTAGTAGGCGTTTGGACATAAGAATTGTAAAATTCCAAAAAATGGTGAAAAATATTTTCAAGTGAAAATGGTATTTGAAATTTAGAGTTGTGTTTGGACATAAATTTCAGTTTGGGTTGTTTTTGAAGTTTTGTTAGTGATTTGAGTGAAAATTTTGAAAACAGCTTTTTGGAGTTTTTCAAATTTTCGAAAATTTCCAAAATGCATCTTCAAGTGAAAATTGAAAATTTTATGAACAAACGCTGATTTCGAAAAAAACTGAAATTTTTTTGGAAAAAAGGAAAAAGAATTTTATGTCCAAATGGGCTCTTAGTTTATTAGTTCACGAGAGTGGATACATGACTTCTCTCTTTTTTTTTCTTTTTTTGCTTGTTATTTTTCTACATGACCTTTAATCGTTTTTGTCTTTTTGCTGGGTATTTTCCCATGCTGATGATTGGTCAACGTGCTGTAGTGCCGAGGTAAGATGTGATGCTTCCACATCATTGTTCTTTTTGTCTTTTCGTTTCTATCTGACGGTCTGGCAGTGAACCAGTTATCCCAACCACTAACTACGCATTACAGACAAGTCAGCAAAAACGAGAATATAACTTAGCTAAAAGCCTAAAACCTGCAGGAAAAAAGGAAGTGAGGGTAATAGAAGTTTTACATCATTTTTGGGAATTGTTATTTTTAACAGGTATCAGGATTTAGCTTTTCCGAGACCTAGGAACCAAAGATCTCCGAGCTTTTGGTTGATTTTGTATAGTTTAAATCCAAGGTTATGTCACTACAAATAGGCTAATATTTAGAAAGGAGGTCGCCTTCAGCCAATAGTAGAAACTTATATTTGCTATTACTGCAAGCTCATAATGCGATATATTTTTTATGTATTTCCATATTAGGCTCACGAGGAGAAGCTTAATAAGCTCAATCAAAGACTAAGTGAAGCACGAGAGAATATAAGGTAGAGGAGTTCCTCACTTTCTCTTTCCTTCCTGTCTTTTCTTCTTCTAGGAATGGTGGGATAAATTTATGGTCTGAATGTATCTCTTAGCTCTTTTAATCTTTTGGAGAAAAAAACTTCCTTCTTCTGTAAGGAATAGTGATATTTTCCCTTGCACTGGGCAGGTACTACGAACCGCAAGCGGAGGGTATCAACTCGGTCCACAAAGCTGTTGCATGCCAGCAGTTCCTTATGAGTGCTATGGAACGTATACAACAATTAAAAGTGAGCATAACTCAAGCCTGATGTAAATTTTTANTAATTTAGGAGGTAGACCAGCATGATCATGTTTTCTATTCTTCTTACCAGGCAAAACTCTTGGGCGGTGAAGTTCTCCAGAGAAATGAAAATGTCGAGGTAAAATAGTGTTAAGCTGAACTAAATTGCCATTTTTTATTATATTGTGTTTGGACGAATGCTTACCTGTTTCACCCAAATTCTGTATGGAAAATAACTTTTAGCATTATAATTTCCAGGTGGCTTCGGTCAACACAGAGGATACAGCTGCTGCAGGTAATGGATCTTCATATTCAAATCCTAATTGGTATCTAACTTCCGTGTACATATCTTTTTGAGTGTTTTGTGCTTCTATTTCCTCAAGTTGCCTACCTCTGATAAGTAGAAAAGGGTACTATTTTCAGATTGCAAACATGAAATGTTTGAAAGAATATTTGTCTCTCGCACCCAAAATTTGATGAAGAGTCTCAGGAAGTTGTTTGCCACCTGATTGGGGGGTAACCCATCTAATACAGTTGGCGACAATGCCAAAGTGTGTAGGTCGTTCCAGCATTAGTTCTACCAATGCCTAAGTTAACCAATTTAAGTGGCAGATTATACAGTAGGTGCACATTTTGGCAATAAGAGAGCAGATTATGACTGATCAAAGCAAAAAAGGGGGAGAAAGGCAGGTTATGCATATAACGTGAGCTCGGGGTAGCCAAAAGGGGTTCTAGGGGAATATTTAGTATGAAATGACCCTTTCTTCTAGAGATTTCAACGTACTGTTTCTATCGTCCCGAGACTCAACGCAGCAACAGGTTTACCCCTGATGAATATGTAGTAGTATTACTTTGATGCTCTGGATAGAAGATAAACCAGTGCCTATACCCCTTATATCTTATGCCTTCAAAATATGATCAATGAAGTCTATACCCACTAATTTTAATATCAAACAATTGCATGTTACTCTGCTGAATTATATTGCACAGAAGAATTTCCTAATCTTTGTTCTCTGTCTGTAGGAATTAAGGGATGAAAGTTTTTAGCAGTTCCTGGTGTCAAACTTATGCAGGAGGAGTTGTATTATTTGTTATTTTAAGAACTTAGTAAATAACTTGCACCAATGGGGCAAGCAAAAGTATGAATAATGTTGCATGTCTATTACTGCAACTTTTAGAGTTCTTGTATGACATTACAGCTCTACCTTTTTGTTTCTTTGCTCATATATTTATTTCCCATGTTGCTCCCCTTCACCTTTTTACTTTTTATGTTTTTAATAACTCTTGGTATTTTGGATTACTGGTTTGTCCAGTTGGAAAAGGATCACTCTGATGGTTGCAAAATGATTGATTTTCCTAAGTAGCACTCCATTATTTTCCCAAGCAATAGTTATTTCGTCAAACGAAGAATGACATGATAATTATTTGAGGATCAAACATTTTCTGTTACGGTTCTTCAAACATTTTAAAATAACTAGTCTTAGGGTATGCGCTTTCCGCCTGAACACAACACAATTTTAAAAATTACAGACTAAATAATATGTTTGAATTATAAAATAAATATTAAATATTTTACCCTGAAGAAGTCCTCTAATGCCTCGTTGTATTTCAATAACTTAAATAATTTTGTACTTAATATATATTTAATTTTATACTCATTATTATAGGTTCAAGCGCAATGCATACTCTAATGCTTGATTATATTAAATTAAAAATAAGTTTATGAAAATGATGAATATAAGTCTAAAATAAAATATCTTTGACTCAATGTTCTAAAACAATAGATCATAGAGATATAGTTCAAAATTAAAAAGCTCTGCAAACTTAGGAATTTACATTGATTAAATAGATCAAAGTAGAAATACTATCTCCTTTATTTTTCAATCGACTTCTTAATACGAAAGTCAAACAGTTTAATTTTCGCCTTAATATGTTAGTTTGTTAATTTTTAAAATTAAATTATAGGTATTAGAGAAATAAGTAGTTAATAATAAAAGTAATGTGTATTATAATTTTTTTGTAACAGATTGATATATGTTATTCTAATTGATTTTAAAATTTTAAAAATATTAAAACTTCTAACATAGTTTAAATTAATAAATATTTTATAATTTAAATTTTTATTTGATTTCAAAGTGTGAACATTTTAATACATTACAACAATATTGTTCCTACGAATTATTATGTATTGTAATATTAATCTTTGTAATTGTGATGAAAATTCAGTTGTAAAATATTAATTTAGAGAAAAACAAAGGATGATGGCAATGCAATTACGTAATTTGAATGAATCTAATACATTTATTTTGTATTTTATTTTTTGTTTTGAAATTGAACAAATGAAAGTCAAAGCATGAAGGGATAAACATTCAAAGACAAATCTTACTCTTCCTTTCCTTTTTAAAAATTGTAAATTACTTTTCCTTTTCAAATCTGTTGTATTGCACACAATTCAAATAAAGAAGTTTTCGGTGCACAAAATATAGTTGATTTTGAAGTCATAAATATTAGGACCATAATTAAATGACTGTTCTTAAATATTAAGGAAATAATAAAAATGACTATTTTGGCTCGTGTAAGAACTTTTTTTAAAGACTAAAAAATACGAACGATATTTTGCTAAGTGCTTTATTTTCTATATAGTCTTCGAATATGTACATTTTATTTTTGGAATAAAACAAAGAAGTTCAATTTTACGACAAAAGTTAATACGCTACGTATATCAACTATCGTGCTCCAAATTCTCCATTCCTTTAGGATAAAAGACTAATGTATATCTTATCACAACACTAACCACTATGTCGACGAAATTATTAGTTATTGAAAAACATAAATCCCAACATCAGATATCAACCATTTATAAGAAATTTTATAACAAATGAACTATCAATACTTAAATATGATTATCTCATCATTCCGTTTTAATTGTGAAAAATAGAGAAATCCAACATAACAAAGAAATAAAATATTGTTGTCCGTCTTAGTAGTTGATGATCTGTAACTGTACTCGAGGAAGTTTTAAGTAATTATAAGTAAATCTTATGATAAATATTAATAATTGATAACCTCTTAAAAATAATAGTAACTAACTTAACCTCTAGGAACTGGGTGGTCTCTATCGATGACAAATCTAAGATTTCTAGTAAATTGGTGTACTACTAAAAAAAGAGGAGAAAATATATGAAATGAGCATTGATCCATATTCTTCTTGGTAAATAATTTAACGTTTAACCAATTAGTGCATCACTCAAATCTCTTGGAGCATGGGTGCCAACAGTTAATACTACACCAATTTTAGAAAATATGTACATAAAATATCTAATTTTGCGAGAAGAACATAGGTTCACGTGCCCCATAATTTTGCCTATCAATCCGCTCGTCTCTATCGCCCATATCTACATGGAAGCTAATATGGTAGCTAATTGTTTAGCCAATTTAGCCTTTAAGAGGGAGTCTCATTTTGAATTGCATGCGCTTGTGCCTACTAGCATTTCCCTAGTTTGGTTGCTAGCTAATTTTGTTGTTGTTTTATTTCTCTTTCGAAAGAAAAAAAAGTAACCTAAGACCACAAGTTTAACTATATAGTATTTGTCACAGGCTTAGTGTATGCAACTTAAATTTATATTTTTATTAATTATTGTTTACCCGAAAAATGGATAGAGTTGAATTTATACGCAGTTTCGAGGATATGTGGCGTAACTTGACACAAAATGTAAGGATCAATAGAAATGTAAATATAGATTAGAGAGAATCTGAAATAGGTAAGGTTGCCAGGAACAAAGAATCTTACGATTCAACAAATAGAATCAATGTAAGAAATATGAATGAACAATTCTTTACTGTAGAAGAATATAACACTTTTATTACAATGTAAGCCTGAAAAACTTGTCTTACAGAAATAGTAACCAATCCCTTTTATAGTGGAGAGATTTGGCTCTAAGCATAATAAAATAAACATTCAGTGGGAGACCCATGATATGTCAGTTTTTTCATAATTTCTGCCAAGATTCTCTCTAGTGGGATTGCAACGGCTTTTGTCTGTGAGCTCGATCTTTCTTAGAACCCTCGATTTTGGTTTGAGCTTGATTTCGGATCGAACTCATGATCTTGGTTCGAGCCCGATCCTGGCTCGAGCCCTCGAATTGATTCGAGGTCAATGTCGGTTGGTCTCTGGATTGTCAGCATGGTAGATTTTGATTCGAGCTTGGTAATGATATCGAACTTGACACGGATCGTCCTCCCCAGGTTCGAGGATAGTTTGCTCCACCTTCGGGATCTCACTTTGATAAATCATCGTTTGAACTCGATCGGACGTGCTAAGGCCGAAACCTATTTCGACTGTATACAGATAGTCCCCTCGTTTCTCAGAAAGAATGTGGCGAGAAACGATATGATTTTTTAACAGTTCGATCTAATTATATCCTGTCGTTTCCATCGGGTTCAACCATGATGCATCTGGTAGCTGTCCCGTCGGTTTAGTGTTTCAAGGCATTTAACGCATGTCAGGCAGTGGTTGGCCACTGTTGATATTGAACTGCCATCGCTTGGACCTATAAATAACCCTTTCTTTTATCTTTTACCATTTTTACATCTTTTATCTTCCAAATTTCCCAAGTTCTTCTTCGAACTCTCCATCTTACCAGTAAATCTGTGATTTCTTTCCGCAAAAATCCCTCTTTAATTCTACCATATCTTTGTCCCTTTCTTCTACTCCCCACCTTTGAATTCTAAAATGGCGAAAACATCGCAAACCATTTCTCAGAAAGAGAAAGCTTCATCTTCACAGTGTGCCGCCGATGAGACACCGGCAGAACCACGACCTGAGGAGTGTGTTCCCGGGGCGTGTGTCCTCACTTCAGATTTTAAGGTCGATAAAGGTTCATCGATCCTTGCCCAGTGTGAGCCTGTATCGAGGTACATGTGTTCGATACCGAAAAGCACCTCGAACAACTAAAGAAAGATTGCAATTGGGGTGAGAAAGAAATAATAATTCCTACGCCCGACGAAGATATCACTTCTTACGTGAAAGGGTTTTTGAATGTGTATACTTACCCTTTCACTTTGGGTCCCTTTGATTCTGTTATTATTGACTTCTGTCGATAATACCAAGTAACCCTAGGCCAGGTTCATCCTTCTTTGTGGCGAATCATTATCCTGATCCGATATTTTGTGAGCAAGATCGAGGGGATGCCGTTCACCCTCGATCATCTTATCCGATTGTACCGTCCTCGACTTTTTCGAGGGGGGTTAATAAAACTCTAGCGTCGGGCTACCAAGGCTCTATTCTCGAGTATTGACGAGGACAGGGACCGGGGTTGGATGGGCAGGTTCGTTCGAGTAAGGACTTCGGACCTGATCCCGATTGAAAAGATGCCCTTTCCCGAGGAGGGGAATATGAAACGTAAGTGTGATCTTGATGTTACTTCTATTTTCTTCTTTCATTTATTCTCTCATCGACACTCCCCCTTCTTCTTGATGTAGCAGTTCCCTGGATACCCGAAGCAATCCCCGATCTCAAGAACTGGGTACGAGCCCTTGTTTCGACCTCCACATACGTTGAGCGCTCATAGAGTGATTTGTCAAAGGGTCGGTGGGAGGCCAAAAATCACGGTAAGCCCATTTCTCAGACTCTTTGATGATCAGAACGAGGTTGTTTTCAAAATATTTTATTAAGGTTTCCCATATGCAAGTTTCCCAAAAAATATTTTATTACGTGAAAGGGTTTTTGAATGTGTATACTTACCCTTTCACTTTGGGTCCCTTTGATTCTGTTATTATTGACTTCTGTCGACAATACCAAGTAATCCTAGGCCAGGTCCATCCTTTTTTGTGGTGGATCATTATCCTGATCCGATATTTTGTGAGCAAGATCGAGGGGATGCCGTTCACCCTCGATCATCTTATCCGATTGTACCGTCCTCGAATTTTTCGAGGGGGGTTAATAAAACTCCAGCGTCGGGCTACCAAGGCTCTGTTCTCGAGTATTGACGAGGATAGGGACCGGGGTTGGATGGGCAGGTTCGTTCGAGTAAAGACTTCGAACCTGATCCCGACTGAAAAGATGCCCTTTCCCGAGGAGGGGAATATGAAACGTAAGTGTAATCTTGCTGTTACTTCTATTTTCTTCTTTCATTTATTCTCTCATCGACACTCCCCCTTCTTCTTGATGTAGCGGTTCCCTGGATGCCCGGAGCAATCCCCGATCTCAAGAACTGGGTACCACCCCTTGTTTCGACCTCCACATACGTC